ACTTCTATTCAAATGTCTGTTCCACTTGTCTGTCATTATTCCCCCATTTTCACACAGTCTGCTTGTCACTTTTTGAATGCATACTTGAGGTATTCTTATGACTACACAGACTTTCCTCCTCTGTGGATCCCAGAACAATCTCTGGAAAGAATGGAGGTGGCAGGGCGCCTTGGGTTATTCCCATGAATGAAAAGTAACCTGTAAAAGTCATGACTTCAGACATCTGGCATTTGGATGTGCCCCTTGCTTTTTTCTGTATGCAGACTTTGAAATAAATGGTAACAGTTGAATTTCAAAAGAGGAGGTGAGGAAGGAGAAAGGAAGCAGGAGAAGCTGGAACAGGAGGAGAAGGGTAAAAAGAAGGTCTCTCCTGCCCACGTGACCTTGTCTGGTCCTCATTCGACCAGTGATGGTAAACAGACATTTTTGAGACATGCAGGGAAATTTGAGTAAGGACTGTGTATTAGGCGATACAGAGACATTTTGTTAGGTGTGGTAATGCCATGGTGGGGTGTAAAAAATATGTATTTCAAAGTCTTTATCAATTAGAAATGTGTACTGAAGCATTTATGAGTAAAATGACATGATGTCTAGGATTAACTTTTCATAATGCTCCAGAAAAGGGATAAATGGAATGTGACTGACAAAATATTAATAATTGTCAAGGCTGGATGATGGGACATAGCAGTACATTATACTTTTCTCTTACCTTTGGGATGTTCTTGAAATGTGAGGCAAAGGTAACAGAAGCCAAACTGCAATAGGCTGAGGAATAACGGGGAAACACTTTGTGGTTTTGCTGTCTCCAAGTCTCCAGTACATTTTTAGTAAACAGTAAGCCTTTTTTTAACTTGGATTTGAGGAATTAAGAAAGTGAATGTGTTCATAGTTGGGAGGGGATATAGCCTCATTTCTCAGGAGACCATGGCCCAGGAATGACAGGGGGTGGCCACCAGCAGGGCACAGAGCTGTTCCTGGTGGGGCATCAAGCACCAGCCAGAAGCCCGACCATCCTGGAAGGGCAGACAAAAGGTGATAAGTAAAACCACCATGGATTTGTAGAAATTGTAACGATTCCTTTGAAGCCCCAGAAATGACATGGGGAGCTAAATCTGGTAAACAACTGCAGTTCCAATGTTCAGCGGGGTGAGTGCACAGACTCAGTATCTGAGCTTCAAAGGGAAAGGTGATGCCTCCAGGCTGGACAACGGGAAGCACAGCACACCCACAATCACACACAAAGACACGCCGACACTTAACAGAGCATTCACCCTGAGCCCTGCACTCTCCCAGGCTCTTTACGTATATGCTCCTGTCATCCTCTCAACAGCTGCAAATAGATATTATATTATTACTTATAAATGCAGAAACTGAAGGACAAAGAGATTCTATAGTTTGCCCTATCCAGCTCTTGAGTGGAAGAGCTGGAATTCTAACCAGGAGATGTGACTGAATACAACTTCCTGTTGCTCCACGCTAGTTTGCTTTTAAAGAAATAAAATAATTCTATGCACATTACTCCACACCTTCCCTTTTTCTTTTAACAAAAAGCATGGACACCTCATAAGGCATTGGTAAAGGTCAGTTTTCTGTGTTCTAGTATTTTTGTGCATATATACATACACCTACGTGTGATTTCACATGCTACGGTAGTAGAGATGTTATTTTTTTCACTTCTGGCTTTTACATTTTACCATGAGCAAATTAAAACCTTAATGCCTCATTTTTCTCATCTGTAAAATAAAGTTAATTTTGTGAGTTTATTTAGTTAAGGTACACAATGTATTTAGAACTATACGAGGCATACTAAACACTACAAAGTATTATTAGTGTAGGGAAAATTGTTAAAGACGTGGAAATGGACCACAGTGATTACTAAATGTCCCACGTAGCACACCCTTCCAGGTTATCAACCTTTCACTGTAACTGAGTTATTTCATGACTCTAAAGTTGTAGAAAAGGGGAAATAACGTGAATTATCCTTGTCCATAAAAATGCAAGTCAACTGTGTTTAGTGGAATATGGCTGAGTATGGCCTTGTGAGTAGGTTTGTTTTGAATCTATTTGTAAATTCATTCCAGGATTCCTTACTTGCCTATATAACATGTGGTTCTTTGAATTTCCCTTGGAACCAATTGTAACATCTTATGGTTCTCTCATTAATCAATGAGTTAAATAAAATCTTTGACACATGTTCACTTTGTATTTCTCTGAGTCATGACTCCACTTTCTTTAAAAGTATCCTTCAACCTTATAATTATAGTGATTTTTTTCAAGAAAACCAATGTAAGTCAAAAATATTATGCCCACTTTTTATATAGGAAAACAACATAAAGGTATTCTCACACATACAAGGGCACAGATATATAGATATATATATATATATATATATATATATAGAACATGCATACCTTAATTTTAAAATGTTTGAAGAAATCAGCATACTGAAGTATGAATCAACATGTAAGAACTCTAGAATAACAAAGAATAGAAGTTAGACACTGAAATTCCTTAAATATAAATCATACAAATAAATACAGCTAGAGGTAGCAAATAAGAAAAAGAATGTTTTGAAAATAACATACTATTTTAAAGACAGATTTAACCCCAAAAATGTGGAGAGGATTCTGGGAAGATCTAAGTATATGATTCTGACATATACTGAGCCTCCCGTGTCCCATTCCTTTCTTAGGTAGATGGGAAATCCTATTCCATAACTACCTTGGGATACAAAGAAGAGCTTCTCCTACAGGCCTGGAAAACTTTCTGCAAAAAAGGTACAGTTGAGAGGTGGGTGGAGAGCCTACCTGTGCTGCTCTCCACCAAAACTCATAAACTAAGAATTTTCCCTTCTGGTAGCTCCTTTCTGTAGACCTCGCCAAAAACATACCCTCCCACTGGGCCACAGCAATCATCTGCCTAAACTAAAGGGTCTATGGAGGGCCAGCTAATCTCATATGTGTTTGCTTAAAAATAGTTACCTTGGTTCTGATTTGCCTGTTTTTCTAAGCATAAGAACATTAAGAAACTGTCAGGAATACTGACCATCTTTACTCAAAATGTTTTGTCAGGAAGTGATCTGTAGAAAATGTATTTTACTGTTTAAAACTTGAAAAATGATCTCACATGATATTCAGACTCAGCAATGTGTGAGCACCTAAAATCTCATTGTGTAGGGGAGCAAAATTTGCCACACCAAATTTTGGCATGTGGATTATTTTAGGCTGGTTTTTTAAAAAATAATAAACAGAAGACTGAATACGTTTTTCTTTTTTGCTTCCCCCACTAACAGCCTGAAAATTTAGATAGAGGACCTATTCCAGGAAAGAAGTAACCACCATAGAGAACTATAGTATAATATGAAGTTGGTGTGGTGGGCAGGAAGGAACCTAGCAGGACGCCTATTTATTCAAAGTCCTCTCAACATCCCATTGTTTCTTGATGGTCCAGACAACATTGTTTAGTGAGACTTACTCTTTCCATTCTTCTTGGGAATTGCCCTCCTTCCCTTTGAAGCCCCAAACCTGCCCCTTCTTCCTAGTCCAGAGTGACATATATACCTCATTTTGCCTGTCTTTGGAATCTCTCATGTTTATTGGATTTCCCATATATACATCATTAATTTTTATTTTCTTCTGTTAATCTGTCTCATGTCAATTTAAATCTTAGACCAGCCAAAAGAACCTTGAAGGATAGAGGCAATTTTTCCTTCCCAGCATAAGCCACACCATCCATGCCGAGAATATTTCTTCAATGAGAGGCAAATAGCTACAGGCCTTTGATTGGCATCTTGACAAATGAAGTAATTAGTATAACAGTGACTTACTAGGCCTGCTATGGCAAAGCATGCTAAAAAAACTATAAGGAATTTACATCATGTATCCCATATTTTCCACTAAAAAAGATACAGCACACTTAAGTGGGTAATTCCTGAAATGAATTAATAAATAAAATTCTGACATATGGATATAACTTCTAAGGAACTTCAAGTAATCTGTATCATTTCTATCCAGAATATTTGCCTCTTGGAAAAAAAAACAGGCCTTTCTCCAAAAGGTCAAATCACAACTTTTTACGAAAGGTCAGCTAAATACTAACCAGATAGTAAAGCTTCTAAAAAGCTGATGTTCCTCTAGACCAAATGTCCCCCCAGTTTTATCTTAAAGGGCCAGATAGTAAATATTTTTGGCTTTGCAAGCTACATGGTCTATATCACAACTATTCATATGGGTACGGCTGGATTCCAGTTAATATTTTTTATTGGAATATAGTCATATATAATATTATATTGGTTTCACATATACAACAGAGTGATTCAATACCTACATATATTATTTACTAAATGGTCACCACAGGTTCCAGTTAAATTCATTTACAAAAACTGGCACAGAGCCATATTTGGCCCTAGGGCTACAGTTTTCTGACCCCTTGCTCTAGACCTTTCCTCTAGAGCTCACAGTTAATGAAGAATAAAGGGTGGGGAGAGCAGCTGTAAATACACCCCTCCCTCCACATCCCTATTTGCACATGAATCAGAGCTCAGGGAGCTCATGCTCTCTCTAGAACTGCTGTCTAAACAGCACAACTGCCCCTCAGCCAAGCAGATGAGAGTCTCTCCTTCGTCTTGCTTGTTAGTATTTCAGACTGTTCCACAGAGTCAGCAAAGAAGCAAAGCCACAGAGGTCATTCTCAGAGAAACCGTTTGGAATATGTGCCTCAATCTCACTTCAAAGGGATCCTCTTCTGGCTCAGAAAGTCTTTTTAACCTTAAGCCCCACTTCTTTCTTGGCTGAAATCAAGTACCAGAATGTCTTAGCCTGACATCTTGTAGCAGATTGGAGTATGAAAAGGGAAAGTGTTGGACCAAGACAACCACAACATATTGGAATGCCTGTTTTGTTAACGTGCTTAATACACGCACTATATGGGAGCCAAAAAGCCACAGTTCCTTGTCCTCAAGGATCTTACAATCTGTAGTAGATAGTACAAATTTGTACAAACGTATGTAAAATTACAGCTATGCAAAATGACCTGAAGGAGCCTTACAGGATGCTCTGAAAGGAAATAAAAGGGATTCGACTTAGGGAAAGTGGAGAAAGCTTCCCAGAGGACCAGAGGACTAAACTGAGGCCTGACAGTGAGCAGGGATTTGCCAGGAGAAAAAGTGAGGGAAGATGATTTCAGAGGAAGGGAACCCAGGAGCCTACTGAGAAGGACACATCCCATCTAAGACAAACTCCTTTTCCTTCCTCCGGCAGTGTCTCTCCAGTGCCATCTACTGACAGAGTTTAGTATTGTGCCAGCTAGCAAAGGAAAAACAGTGAAAGGATGTGGCAGAGCAGGCAATGCACAACGGATCTGAAGCTCAGAGGTGATGAACTGACAGCCAGCACACGTTGGCCTCTATGTGAAGTCCCTTCTACAAGAGGAATAGACCAGGGAGGAGGTATTTAAGTAGTCCTGGAGAGAGAGAAGCAAGTGGTAATAACCTATAAAGTGCTGGACAGAATACACTAGCAAGTTCCCCATGGACACAGGAAGGATGCCAAATAGCATGGCCTGTATCCCTGTGTTCACTGGACTGTGGAAGAGCTGCCCGGGAGGGCGTGGTTAAGGCAGGAAGTAGGGTCAGCTGCCATGGGTTCTAGGACAGGAGACTGGCAGCGCCAGCTGCACTGAGGCAATTTTTCATACACTAAAGGCACAGGGACAGCATTGCTCCCAAGAGATCAACTTGCCAGGCTTAACAGGTGCAGTCAAAGCTACACCCAATCCAAGCAAACACTACCACAGCCAGGCTTGCAAGAAAAGGACTTTGAGTCTAAAAAGTTACTAGAGAGAAGTGAGCATGATTTGTGACAAACTGTAATTCCTATTTTTAAAAAGCTTTTAAATAATTGGCCACATGTGTGTGTGTGTACATGTGTGTGTGTGTGTACACATGTACACACACACACAGAGCAAGCCTGGCCTTCCGGTGCTTCATAAAGGCCCTCAATTTACCTGCTGTCTCAAGATCATCAGTGAGGCAGGTCCAGGGGGTGGGTAATATGCCACTGCTTATCTGTAAAGAGTAACCCCTCATTTCTCCAAAATATTAACATTACTAGGTGACAGAATCTGAGCACCCACTGAGAAGCCAGGGTTGAAGTAAATTTGTCAACAACTAAAATTTACTACTTAAACACAAAAGCAAACAAGAGTGTATAATACTTCCCTCTGGGCAGTGGAACCAAAGAAGGGGAGAGGAGTGGGATTGTGAATTCTTTAATAAATTTTTCTACGTGACTTGATTTTTTTTTTGAAGAGGCCTGAAATGGTTAAAATAGCTTTCAAATGGGTAACACTAAGTTGTTACATCATTACAACACTGGACTAGAATTTTAATTACTCAAAGATCACTCTTGGGTTTGAAAGTGACTTAGGCTAAAATCTTCTTGAATCCACCATCCTGCCCATAAAGAAAATATAAAAGGGCAAGAATAGAGTTGGGAAGGGGGTGGATGGAGGATTTCTTGGCGAGCCCTACCGATCCTCCAACCGAAGGTAGTGGGTGTGAGAGGCCTACCTCCAACCTCAAGCTCAGAGAAGGGCAGCTCAGCAGGCCCACCCAAAAAGCTTCGCAGTTCAGAAGTCACAGTTGAATGCTGACAGACGCCCGCCTGGGAAATGCGGAGAGCGATGTCGGCTTGCACACTGCCACATTCTCGGGGATGGTTTTTCTTGTGAGCACTTTCAGGAGTTCCCCGAGAAATGCCTCTTCTCCAACGTTTGCAGCTCTTGCCGCTCTGCTGAGGTCTCCCCACCTCTGAGGCCCTACGGTCTCTTCCAGAGAGTTCTCTTCCAGGTGACCACAGCTCCTACCACAGACCCACTTGCGCAGAGAAAACTGTCATCACAGCCCTTCTCTCATTAGAACTGCAGCTTGTTACCAAATCTACTGCGAGCCGTGGAAAGAAACTTCCCTTGTCCCACTCACACAGCTTTGACTTGGCCACCAGCCGTTAACAGTTCAAGGAGAGAATATCGGTACTTCGACAACAGAAAAAGAAATTCAAAGTTCTGGTTTGCGTGGGTGGGGCTGCAAAATAGTCCATCATCTGCACATAACTGTATTTTTAACTAACGGATACCGATTAGTTGACCGGTAAATTGCAACCGATATTTTTAAACACAAATTCTAGGAATCAAACCGCCGAGCCGCGAGAGCGCAGAACTGGGATTCTACCGCGGGCGGCGGGGGAGGGCGGGGGGAGGGCGGGGAGGGGCGGGGAGCAGGCCCCGGCGCCTGCGCACTGGAGCGAGTTCCTTCGCTCCTGCACAGCCCGGACGTCACCCAGCCTGTGCTTGGCTCTCCATGTCCCCCGTTCCTGAACCTCCTTCGGGAAACGCAGTCTTACCTCCTCCTGCTCCTTCGGAACCTGTCTCAAGATAATTAGGGGTGCCCTCTGGAATTGCCCAATCCTAAAGAGCACGACCCTCTAGGGCTTGCCTGCCCGGAAGCTTGCGCTCACCCGCCTACCTGGGGCCTGGGCGGGGCTCCCGGGAGCGAGAGCCTTTCAGAGTCGAGAGGCCCCGCCCCCTGCTCTCCACCTGCCCTGGACAGTTGGCGTGGCATTCTACTTGAAGATTTGTTGTGAAGGTTGTGGGAAGTACTAAAACTTTCTGATGCTTAAAGAGCATCAGTTAAGTTTAGCTATTGTTGCTTGCACGTCTACTCACTTTCCTCACAGTAGTAATTTGGAGCTGCCTCTCCAGCATTAACGTTGTGCACTCATCAGCTTTCACCTCAGTAACCTCTACCTAGTTGTCACTCCTGTGCCCTTCACTTTATACTTTTCTAACTGGACCGGCTCCTTCAGCCTGCCTTCCCCATCATTTGTGCACAAATATCCTGTTGTCTTTGCTCCTCAGTGCTTATCTACCTCTCCTAGTCGCTGTTCCTGTCTCATGAAAACTGAAAAAAGGTTACTCCATCCATCTCTTCTTTGCCCCTCTCACCCCATTTACTTCACTGGAATCTGGCTTCTAACCACGCCAGTAAAACAGTCCCCAGCAAAGTCTTCAGTGGCAGTGTCACTAACCCCCACAAACACTTTGCTGTGCTGCATTCCCTCCAGCACAACACACGTGCCTGTGACCTCTGTAAACCCTCTGCAGCTCCCTCTGGTTTCCGTATTGCTCACACTCCTTTCTCTCTCTGTGATAACTCCATCTGCTATGAGTTTGTCTTCCTTCTCCTCCCTCTGCTGGTTCCCAGATCCCACTAGTCTTCAGTTTTATTCACTCTCCGCACTCTGAGCTCTTTTATGTCATTTTTTGGTGTGCCAATGACTCCCAAGTCCATACCTCTAGCCCAGATCTTTCTTCTGGGCTTCAGGCTCTTGGCATCCCACAGAAAGCTCACTTAACACCTTCAAAATCTCTTTTCCAGCAAACCTACTTGAACTTCCGTACATAATTTTTCTCTTGCTTTCATCTCTTTGAATGGCTTCATGTGCCGTCTCAATGAGGCAGGTAATGGAGGGAGGCAGGCAAATAGAGTTTAGGGCCCCTGTAGGTTTCAAGAAGCTTCAGGGCCCTTGTAAGTTAAAAAAGCTCCAATCAAACTCAGCCATTCCGAAGAACAGTTAGACCTCAGCTCTGATTGGTTATGCCTTATGCAAATGAAGCATTGTACTTTCAGCGAATCAAAAGAGGGTTGTGATGTCATCAGTTCAGTTCTCTATGGGAGGCGGGGGAACTTCCTCCTATCAGGAGGCAATATAAACCCCAGACACCACAGGCCTGATGGCATCCTCTTGGAGCCCCTGCTGAGTGGCAGGAGGTCTTTTCTTTTCATTCTTCGTTGAAAGAGCTTTGCTGGTTGCTCTGTTCTCTTGTCTACTGGCTTCATTCTTCATTGCCTCCAAAGCACAATCCTGGGAAAAACAGCATCTTAGCTGGTAACATCAAGACAGAAATCAAGGAGCTTGGACACCTCCCTCTCCCTCACACCCAGTTGGGGTCAGGTTCCCTAGGAAATAGACTCTGAGACTTGTGTGCAGGTGTTTGGGGTGGGGGGTACATGGCTCTCAGGAACAGCACCTGTGAGGGCTGAGGGAGGGAGATTAGGGTGGGTAGGAGTTTAACAGCTGGTGCAGTTTGAGTAGTGGCCTCAGCCAGTGCTATGGCAAACTCTGGACCTGGAATGGCCCTTCCTTCCGAATTGTTCCACACTGAGGCAAGGGGAGGGACAGATACCCCCCAATTAACCTGTCACTGGATGTGGGCTGCTCTTAGGATGGGCCATGATCTTAGGTGATGTAGCTCTCTTTGCTGAAGGCAATTCTGGTAGCTGCACTAGGCTGAGGGGACCCACCATCAAAGTTCCCAACATCTAGAGGGATGAGTGCCTAGCCTTTAACAGAGAACCTGGGTACCACACCATAGTACCCACTACACCCTCGTACTCAAGAGTTAGTCACCAGTTGTTTTACCTGTTCCCTTTTTAACCTTCAAATAAGACTCCTTTTGTCAGACTACTACTTTATTCGAAAGAATATCTGAGAGTCTAAAGACTGTGGCAGGGCTACAGAGGCACGGACCATGCAGACAGAGTTCCAGTTTTCCATATGCTTACAGTCTAGTTGGGCAGTGAATAATCATCCAAATACATACTTTAAAACTATGACAAGTATTTTGAGGAAAAATTTAAAGTTCAGAATGAGATCCTATACAAGGGAGGTTTGTCCCACCAGAGAGTGGGGCAGAGGGAGGGAAAGCTTCTCCAAAGTGTCTTTTGAGCCACAGTCTGAAAGAGTGGGCATTAACTAGGTGTGCGCTTGGCTGTTGAGGTGGGGTGGGAGTGGGAGAAACATGGACAGGCTGAGGAAACTGCCTATGCAAAGGTCCTGAGATAGGTGGGACAAGGTGCTGGAGGACCTGAGAGAAGCCAGCATGTCCATAAGGCAGAAACTGAGGGGGAAGAGTAGTAAGAGATAATGAAGAGACAGGCAGGAGTCAGATCCCACAGAGCAAAGTATTTGGGTCTTTTTCCTAAAAGTAATGAAAGCCACCAAACAGCTTTAATCTCTATGTTGTATAAATCATATAACTTCATTAAGCAGAATATTCAGTTATCCTAAATCACTGCAGATAAAATGGATTATATATACAAAATGATTGAAAGTTAAATTCTGCTAATGCAAAAAGAAGTTTTTTAATGCATATACTATCATTACCACAATAGCCAGCTTCTCTACCTCTAATGGCTACTTATGGATCCTCTGAACAATAACACCTAGCTATTACTGCTTACTAAATGCTAGCACGTCAAGTGCTTTGCATAAATTACCTTAAGGCATTTTTTTAATCCACCTTTACCTTTATGCACCTTTAAAACATCCTTATGAAGTGGGTACTATTAAGAAACCGAGATAGAGCGCGACTTGTCCAGGTTTCCGCATCAGTAAATGGCAGAATAAGATGTGACATCAGATGTCCAGTTTAAAGCTAAAGATCTTGACTGCAATACTGAAATATCCACCTAAGCTTTAGAAAACACCCAACCTCACCTGACTATTTCCTTGCTGCCTCGAATTTCCATTGTATCCTATTCATAAGATCAGACCCCTTTGAAAGTAGGTGTCAACCTGACTCAAGGCCAGACTTGGAACACTCACACTCTTATAGACACCACACAACAAGCCACAGAGTACTTTTTGAGGACTACCTTTAGAACCAGAACACTTTTTCCTAGTTAATTCCACTGGTCCTGACTTATTCTCCCCTTACTGGCCCATGATTTCAATGTCCCTATCTTCTGACAGCTAATCCCGCCAGTTTAAACAAGTATTTGCTAGAGAAACGCAAGCTCACCTGAGCTAAAAACTATAAGCCAAAAAAAAAAGAAGACAACCCTACTGTAATCTTCTACATAACATTATGATTGCTTTCTCATCCTGTTTGTGATTTTGCTGTAAATCTCTATTCCTACTCGAGTTGTTTTGTGTTTCAAACTCACGTTTACAATTACAAAAATATCCGCTGGATGTCAGTCTTGAGCTTCAGTGGAAGTCTGGGACATGGCGAAGGAGTGTTCCTAGGAGAGAGCCTGAAATGGAAATTGGAGTTTGGGTGATTTCTGTGGATAAAACAAGAGTTCCTGTAGCCAGGATTCTCATCTGGCCATGGTTGACTAGCTCACTGCACATCTGTGGGCAATACATGGCTGTTGACTCTATGTAGAGCTCCGCCCAGTGCTCTGGGCATAACACGGTGGCACAGCTGCAAAGCTGCAGGAGAGCAGAGCAGAGGCTGGAGTGGTGGCAGCGCTGAGGACAGAGGCCCAGAGGATGGCTGTGCGGACAACTGTGCAAGAGAGGCCCAGAGGATGGCTGTGTGGGACAGCTGTGCAGGCAGAGAGGCCCAGAGGCAGAGACTGGCTTCTGCATACAGACTCGCTCTGAGTGAACGGGATTTTAGTGACTGCCATCAGGAAATAAAGTTGGGTATAACCCTTTCACCCCAAGAATGTTTTGCTGTCAATTTCTTTGGTCGCATTGAATCCATAGTAAACTTGCCCAGGGCTGAAACCCATTGGCAGGACATTTCCTTTGCAGTGTGAACTAAAACAGTAACTGCAAATTAACTTTTTGTGTGAACACAGTGGCTTTTTCATTAAGTATAAATAATTAGATGATGTCACTTCTCTGCTCAGCAAGCTCCAGTGTGTCCCCTTCTCATTCAAAGTAAAAACCAAACTTACCACAGCGTACAGCAACCCACTCCCACCCATCATCCTCATCCACTTCAGCCACAAGTGCTGAACACACCTGAAACTCTTCCCAGAAACACCTGCATGGTTGATTCTCATTAGATTCAGGCATTGTGGCCACCTTCTTTCCGAGAGCCATTCCTGGACACCCTTTGTAAAATGGCACCCAGCCCGTACCACCCCACCCGTAATGCCCTACTCCCTTAACATTGACTCATTTTTATTCATAACATCATCACATGACATATTATATTTACTTACTGATTGTTAGTCTCTCTCTGGAATGATAGCTCTCTGAAAGCAGGGACTTTATTGTTCACTACTTTATATCCAGAGCCTAGGACAATACCAGGCTTGTAGATGGTGCTCAATAATACCAAGTAAGTAAATGGCCTTA